CAATTCGATTTTAATTCTAGCATTTTTATCTTATCGCACCAAATATAATCATTAAACGCCAGAAAGATTCAATTTATTAGTGACCTACACAACTTTTTGATTTTACTACACTTCATATAATTTCGTATTTGATCAAAAACTAAACTAACTCATTTACACAACAACCAAACGACTAAAAGTTTTGAGCAAAGTCTTCTAGCAAAATAAATCCTACAATTTTAGTAAGCCCTTGTTATGTAATACACTGCAGTCGTATGTATCTGCATATCCAAGTTGATTTCGTAAACAACACAAATCGAGGTGTCTCGTTGCTTCGAACCTAATCTGCAAATAGACCTTGCTCCGAATTACAAGAGTTCAACGTTACTCGGTCAATTGTCAACTGGAATGAAATGCGACATTGAACGACTTGCTTAAGCAGTTCAAATCTAAATCGAGAGATGCATCCAATACGATGCTAAATAAAACTTAAAAGATCACATCTGGATAAAATCGTGAAATAAACTATATTTCAGTTTTGTGCGATAATTAAAAATATATATTATATCTATGTATGCTATTTATGCTTATTAGTACAGAACGAAGTTGTTTAGTGAGTGATAATAAATTTGGGGGAAATAAAGGGGTAAACGCACCGCGTATGCGTATGCAAAATAATTAATGTTAAAGGAACAACTGACAATCCAATCGCATACACGCACGTCACTCCCCTCAAATAAAGGGTGCAAAGAATCGATACAATCATAACGCTGTTTTAATATTTTATGGACAGAATAAGAGTGCAGTAATTAGAAACTATTTAGTATCAAATAAAACTATTAAAATCTAGCAACTCCTACAAGAGTCAAATGTACAATGATTTAATTACGCACTGAATAGAATCGATCTATCGTACAATGTTATATCGATGTCTTGATCATCGATTACATTCACGCGAACACGAGCGAAATATGAAATCGGGATTATGCAAAAAACCGCAGTTACGTTAAAATAATAAAACCTAATGTATAGAGCCAGACAACTAATTTCAAGTGAGAACGAAGGTTACATTTTACAATACTAATTGCACTGGGGTCGTTACGAGATATCTCGTAGGGTAGATTTAATAATAGAAATCTACAATTGGCGTCCTTAGTGAACAATTAAATGCTGAGTGCGGAAAAAATCCTTGATTTTAACACCAATAACACCTTCGCTTTACATATATTTTAAACCAACAAGCTCGATAGAATACTCACAGCATAAAAAGGTTTAGTAACATTTTAAAAACATACACAGAAACATATCATACGATGTAATCCGAGAAACAATAGCATATTGTACAAATAGTCGCACTCACGGACAAAAAGACGTGAGCGTTGCATAAACCTCCGCTTCTAAATACATTTTACAACACACGTAATAAAGCAAGTCGAGATACAATACAACGCGGGACACGCTCAATTCTCACCTCCATTTTAAACCATCCACTTGACTCATTCATTATAATAAACCCTTCATAAGTAGACTATTAAGTGAAAGTCGACCATGTTGCATACATGAAGAATTTATAATTTTACTATTAAACAATAAATTGATAATGTGATTATAATATCCCAGGACAGAGTAGACAGACATAAGTGAGATTTTGAGGAAATTAAAATACTAGAATTAGGTTTAAAGTATGTCACTATCCTATGGTCAACCAAAGCACATTTCTATGAATGGGTGCATTTCTACGAAGGAGGAGGCAAGGTAGTGAAATACAGCCTAAAATACTCATTAAAATTGGTGGAAAGAGATCCTTAGAAGTTTAAAATTTATAGTTCTGTTAGCTTTCGCCCGCGTCGCCGTCTGCGCGGAATTAAAAAACAAGCTTAATAAGTAGCCTATGTGTTCTTCCAGATTATGTTCTACATCTGTGCATTTATGGAGGTATGTTCAGCAGTTTAGGCTACAAACATACAACCTTCTAAACATTCCCATTTATGTTATAAGTAAGAAGTAAGACATAGCTAAGGTATATTTGTATCAAGAATGGTCGGTAGTGATAGTGACAACTCATTAATTCCGCAAGATCGGTTAATTACATTCGTCCGAGCGAGCGCGCCCGATGACCTCACCTTTGTAACAGAGGAAATGGGATAGTGGATGTTAACTGGACTGAGAATATTGGGTTGGAAGTTTCTTCACATTTTTATGAATACAATACAGCTATACGATTACATCAAGTAAGTAGAATTGTAAAAACAGTAAGCGAATCTTTAAAGAAGTGATTAGTCTCTTTAAAGTTTCTACTACATTTTTATTCATAAGATTTATCAATTGATATCAAGTTAATACCAGAAATACTCGGCTTTCATTATTGTGTGATAAAAGAATCAGGTGTAAGATTCCTGTTCTGGGAAAGCAACGAGAGTATTTCCACACTTAGTACCATCGACTTTCATACGTGAAAATCTCAGTAGCAGACATTTAAGAAACATATAAACTAGGCATAGTAATAAAAAATTTTCAACGGGAATATCTCTGACAGGAAACAGTTGTCAAGTTTACCACTCCGTTCGTCTCCTTGAATTAACATTTTACAAAATTATAATAAGCTCCATATTTTGTTATAAAATTAACTAAACAGTGCTGTTAACACTATCTGTTACTACACTAACTAAAAACTAAAACTAAAAATAACCTTAAAATAGAGATTATTAAAACTTTGAATTATCAATAATATTAATATATCATTAAGTACCACTCGAATGTATAGCCTATTTATAGATTTATTTTATTATTATAGTTACTATGTGGTAAAGTTGTGGATGGCACATCTACTCAACACTTTTGAATTGTACTGTATATTTTTTTTTCTTGTGCTATTGTTCTTTTACCCAAATAAATGAAAAAAAAAAAAACACTATTTTTTTTTGTTGATAGCCTTTAATAATAAATAATAAATCCTTTATTATTTCACTTTAAAAATTTTCACATTTCATGAGAGCCTTGACTCCCGCACTAGGTTCCCCTGTGCTGCAGGAGCCAATCCCTTTTATTATCCCCCAAATTATGGAAAAAATGTCTCAAGTGAGTAAAGTAAGCTTACTCTATATACATTGAATCTTTTTAGTGGAATGGAATGTGTTATTATTATTTAAAAATTAAAGTGAAAACGGAGACGTGTAATAAATATGAAAGATTGGCGGCGGGCCTCGTAAAGTATCCATTGAGGTTGCGTCGTCGATGTGTGTCAAGTGCATTCGGCGGACATCACTGACTCAGTTTACAACGCCGCGTGCGTTTAAGCGAGACCTCCAATAAAATATCTAAACCAAGATTATTTCAACAATCAACAAGGTAATTTAATTCGAGCAATACCATTGACTGTATGGCTACTATACAATAACAAATTTACGTGCTTAAAACGGAATCCTAACGGGATTGCCAATGCAATAATTTCCTTCTACAGTTAATATTTTGCTTGCCTCATTACCGTTAGTTTCCACTGCCAAAACACCTGCACGAAACATATTGTCCCTCTAATTCTCTTTGGAGAAAACAGACATAAAAAGGTTATTTCGTGTGTTTATGCAGTATACTAGCTAAGATAGAGACCAAGAAAACTAATCTAATGACAACACTTTACTAATCTCATCAATTTGCCCTTGTCCCCAAGGAGGCTCTAAACTAAATCTAAAACCGCTTATACATAAGGTCGCATTGGAACGGATACATGCGCGCGAAAAACATTACCCGCCTTTTGGGTCAATCTGGTAAAAATAACGGTCATGACTACACATACAGTTCATCTCAAATATTGCAAGCCATTCAAAATCGACCGCGTGCCTTATTTCCGCTAACAACGCATCTAATATTCACTTAAACTTCAGAAAACAATATAAACGTGAGACTTGTGTTTTTTTTTTTTTAATTTTCCGGTTTTATCACGAGGTGAACAAAACACAACAAACGTAAGGTCTTTATCCTCCGACGTAATACATTGCATAATTTGCATTACTTCATTCAGTAAGAAAAACGCTTTAAACAGTTCATTACATATTAACCACATGCAAAAGGTACATTAACATAGAAATAACTTAAGTCTTGATAATACTTAGTTTTCATTCAACTTCCTATTAAAATATTACTTAATATTACATTAAGTAAGCGAAATCATACAAATTACTACTAATTAAATACATTAATTTGCTTAACAAACTTTAATTAAATATATTAATTATATAATTTAATTTTTAGTCAAAAATAAAAGTCATAACAAACCTAGGTATGGACTACTTTTCTAAACGCGTAAAATAATAAATTAAAACTTTATTTATCATTGCAACAAATGTAATTCCTAAACATCAAATGTGCCTAGAGATGTTCAATTGGTAGGGAAATTGCACGATTTTAAGTGTTATGTTTTACGTATAATGTACTGCAGAATTTGCGAGACGTAAAGGGCAAGGTCGAAGCGAACAAAAGCAGTGAGGGGCAATTGATTGATTGCATTATACTGTACCTCACTACGACTAAGAGGTCCACTTCCTCTTTTTAAGGAAGTATACGTCACACTTAATAGAATCAAAAATATCAAAGCAACATAAGAAGGTTCTACTATAATACTGAAATAATTTAGTCTAAAATATACCTTCTCAATTCAATTAAAATCCACAAAGGTTCACTGTTTATCATGTCATTAAAATAAAAGACTATAGAATACCATATTCTTATTAAATACTGCATATTTTTTTAATTTATCGAAAATAACGTGTAAGTAGAAATGTACGACTATTTTCTTATTTGAACTATAGACAGACTAACACGATACGATATTTCAAACCACCGAGCGGTCCAAAAAAAACTGCTAAAAACGACTGTATAAAAACATATACCTGTCTCTATATTACTTTAATATGAGAGGGACAACTACATGTTTTGTACAATTAGTTCAACAGACAACACCGAGGGTAAGTGGTGTTATTTATCGATGTACTTGTACCTGAGTTTGTCTAAATATAATGACTTACCGAGCCTAAGTTCGCCAAAGTTGCCGCAGCCGATCTTCTTGCCGACGCGGAAGTTGGGCCCCACCATGAGCACCCCCGAGGAGGAGGTGACCGAGTGCCGCGACGTGTGCATCGCGCTGCTGCCGCCCACGCCGCGCCCGCCCACCGCACCGGTCGCGCTGCATACATACAAAAACCTTAGTAAACTGCAACCAACAAATATCAATGTCGAAGAGTCGTTAAGTGTACAGTTGTGTCCCTTAGGATAGATTCAGCTCTGTGTGTTTAAGTAACCATTATAGTCCCAGCTAACTAGAGACTTTTTACCGACTAATAGTTTGATCAGGTCGGGCTGTCTAGCTAAAATTGTGCTCACTTCTACACATTTTCATACTGATCAAGCAGCCAACTAAACTCTTAAAGTCTGTAGTGTGCAGGGGCTCTGAAACGTCTTTGAATGTTACTATCAAAGATAAGGGTGGTCAGCCCTAAGGTATCTTTAAACTGAGTAGTCATTGGTTAAACATCACATAACAATGTAAACCTTTTTTTGAGAAAAACTGATACCACAACATCATTTATGTGAATGTTTCCGCAATGTGAACTCACGGTATACCAATTTAGTTACGTTCGACACAAAAGGCCTCTATTCGGGAACTATCACCTTCAAAAAGGTAAAAGTAAGTAACTGTCAATTTATCATAAACAATATGTTAAACATTCAAGATTCATTGCAACCTCAAAGCAGTGAATTAACGCTTAATAGTATGTTACGTAGTTATTGACAAATAAGCTCATATTTTAGCTGTAATTCAATTTTACCTTCTAATATAGAACATCGTGACAACACGATGACTGCTCTGATAAAGTGCAGGCAGTCAATGTGTTGCCAAAACTGCAAACCTGGAACATTGCATTGGCTAATGTCTCAATAGCACAAAACCTACTGCTTCCACTATCCACTAGTATTATGAAAGCCACATGCAAAAGAAACATCCCGGACCACATCTTCACTAAGTCTAGGTGGGATTGTGATCAAGCACTGATTCAGATATGATTAAAAAAATATCCTGAACACACCTTATAGAGAGAACCAAGGCCCAAGGGTTTGAAATGTCAATTGAAAGAAAACGCTAAAAAAAATTCCTTATATAGGGCAACAGTGAGATAGGTCACCTTTAAAATTGATTATTCAGATGACGCACTGAAGATTGAAAATAACAATCCATAATGCATTTTTTTCAACTTGTTTTATAATGCAAATATTGTGGGTACACAAATTTTACAAACAATATCTACTCCTGTAGGAATAAGGATAAATATTGCAAACTAAATTATTAAAAGAGAACTTCTTAATTTCCGATTTAATGGGAAACTTTAGTTTAACTTCTTGTTACATATTTTTTACACCTTATATCATAATTGATAGCAGGAAAAAAATCAAAAGCAATATGAGATAAAATGATAAATCAGTATTGTAAATGTGAGACAGCATGAGTTAGATAAAGGAACTAAGCTGATACAACTTCAAGAGGAGCAATCTTAGTAAATCAAGATACTGAACAACCCATTCTTGGACATTATTGGTTAAAGCAATCCTTGTTACAAACTATTATCTTTGGGCACAGATTTATGTAAAGAAAACCAAGTATTATAGTGTATCCTTTAACACTGACCATAAGTTTCTTAGTTGATAAACATATAAAAAACAATCAACTATCAAATACATGCAAATCGTAACTACTACCTACTCCTTTTTCAGGATGGAATGAAAAATTCAGTTGGAACTGGCTTTCCAGCTTGTGAAAAAACCTAGTATTATGATAGTATTCTGTAGTTTTTGCCTTGTAAAACATTTCTCAGAACAAATAATGAACCATTACATTTTTTTTATTTAAATTAAAATATTTGTTATAGTTAATATTGAAGCATGCAATGAAATCATTGTCCAGTCTGTGAGAGTGCAGAGACTGCAGTGATTCAGCGACCGTTATTGGCATTGAGTCAAAAGTGAAAGTCTGCCCCTACCTACCGTGTTATACCTGCCTAACTGAAACTGAGAATTAACCGTAATTTGTTAATAGCTATTCAAATAATAGCAGAGTGAGTCACCATAGGATTTGTATTTCTTTCTTGAAAATTGTAGTATATAAATGCAATTAATATACAAAATCATAAAAAAGGTTTGCATACACATAACTGTATTACTCCACTGTCATGGAACCTTTACACATACTTTTTTTTTTATAGTATAAGGTAACAATCATCCACCGGAATTCGCCAAAATAGGAAAGCGACCACTGCCCATAGACATTCGCATCTGCAGATGCATTGTCTTTAATGAACAGAGGAGTGAATGCAAGGATATTTTCCGTCACTTCCCCCACCAACATCATATCATCACTTCTGCTAGTAAAAAAGGGGTAGAGAACTAAAATTAGGCATCAGGGATACACACTTATTAGAAAAGCAAACACAGAGTGCACTTCATGCCTGTCTTCTGTGTGATTGTTGTTTTGCACTGGGCAGTCATTAATGTAACAGATGTTATAGTACACTCAACCACTGTTAAGTTGCTGTCTCTGTTTTATCAAAGGCAATGAACGGGATGGCAATAAGTAATACAATTGTTGCAGTAGTCGAAATCCACTGGTACATATATCAATGTATTAACACACCAAACAAATTTAGTTTTTAAAAAACTTTGAGGTTAAAATTTACTTAAGTAAACCTTTTTAAATCAAAGCAAACATCTTTTTCACTCATAATATTAAAGTTAAAACCTATAGGTACAACCTCTGAGTTATTTTACTTGTCTTAAAATAACAGTTTCCTATTTGCTTCTACTATAAAAATATTGCTTTTTACAAATCTTGACACATTTCAAAGCATCACTTCATTAAGTTTGAGGGTTATTAAAACTTAATGTAATATATAATACTTACAATTTCCTATGCATAATTGATGTTCAAATAGTTTAAAATTAAATAATCACAATGAATCCTAAACATTTTTAATAACTTTTATATAAAAAGTAACAGAAATCACTTGTCAATTTAGTTGACACTGGCTGAGCACACTTGATTTTAACTATAAACAATAACTTCAAAAGACATCTTTAGATGAAAATAAATGAAATTAAATTAGCAAGCTTTGTGTATAAATGCTTCACATCAGTAAGAGATAGCATGTTCTGTTCTTATTAAGAAGTGTTATCAAGGGTATTGTGATATAAGATGTTTATGTGTTGTGATTCATTCCAGTATTGATACTGAGACAGGCCACATTTTAACTGTTACAAAATCATATATCATTTATGTAGATTGCATAATTATAAATAAAACTAGCATTCTGCCGCAACTCCGTCCACATGAAATAAAAAAAAAAAACAAAATAGAGTAGCCTATCCTCTACATATATGCGAAATTTCATCGAGATCCATTCATCCGTTTAGGCTACAAACTCTAACAAACATCTATCCATCTAAACTTTCGCATTTATAATATTAGTAAGAAGGAAGATTAATAAATTAACACTTATGTTCATAACTTTGAGGTGTAAGCAGAAATGATTTAACATACATAATGTGTTCTCTATATTAGTTTTCAGTTTTAAGGTCTATAAAAATCACTGAAGTCCATAATGTCCGTAGGGACATTGTATGATAAAGTGCAAATATACATCTTACAAAATTTCCCTAGGCTTCCTTTTACTTTTAAATCCTCCTTTGTCCCATTTCAGTCTCAATCAATGTAACAGAATCTGGTTTTGAAATAATCATATTTGGATTTTAGTTAAAATATTTTTTGTAATCATTTCCTTCTATACTAGGTTAGAAAATAATTTATTAAAGTTTATAACAAAAGTATAGTCTCATTCAATAAGAGATTGTTTATGGATTTCTTTCATGTTCAAGGTTATTTACTCAGAAAAGTCATTTAAAAGATAAAATTACTTTTACACATGCATTATGGTTTACATTAGGACTTGAACCTGCTGCCCACACTATAATTACACATGACTTTTAATTTACTTTTATAAATCCATACATTTAGTATTTTAAAGAAAATAAACATGTGATCTAACATTTTTAAAACAAATTTTACACCAATTTTTATATTTACTTCTCATAATAATTATTATTTAATCTTTAATAATTATTTATTTAGTTGTTTTTAAACCATAAAATATACATCATATTCTGCAACAGAAAAATTCTTTCTACAATATCTTGGACTTAAAGATATGTAGCTTTCAACCATGACACCATGTGGAATAATAAAAAAAAAACAAAAGTATGTATGTTCTTATGTGTTCTTCCGGACTATCCTCTACATCTAATTTAAAATTTCTCCAAGATTCATTCAGCAGTTAGGCGGTAAACTCTAACAAACATCTATCTATCTATCCATTTAAACCTTTTTATAAAGACAAGTCACAACACACTAGTGGCATATTTTAGGCAACTAAAAATAGTCATAACTGAAAAAGTTTATTTTGATTATGAACTGGATTAAGAATCTAGTTAAGCAAATAACACAAACACAATTTACTACTGTTTACTACAAATGTTTAAGTCATCAAAACAAACTAGAGAATTACAATGGTAACAAGCAACAGTACATTTTAATGAATGACTCATTATAATAATCAAGCTAAAATGGTATATGTACTTACTTTACATTTAAATCTACCTCACACAGATGGTAAAAATTTTAATTTACCTGTCATTTTTTGACTATTTGCAAAATAGTTACTCCATTAACTTAGGTAAAATATTTTAATTCAGGTAGACACAAAGAGCAACTAAGAAGTATGTTTTTTTTTTTTAATTTAAAAGTAAGTATAGCTTAAGCTAGAATGTAAATTAGCAGCCTGAGCGCATCAATCACTTTTTTACATCACTTTCTAGTTCCTTAAATTTTTATATTATGGTCTATCTATGATTAAAGCTGGTCAGTCACAGATTAAAAATTCATTAACCTGTTGTGTAAGTTGTTGCTAACTAATGGTCTTGTTTTATCAACATAAAAGAGAACAAAACAGTCGAAAACATAAAATTATATGCAAGTAATTAAATATTTTATATAAAATCCTGGTTTGTGGAGCAACAACCAGCTTTTTTATATATCACAATGTATAATGTAAGTAAATATGCAAGGGTTTTTTACAATTCTGGTTAGGCAATAAAAGAAAACACTCTTAATCTATATCTATTTAACTAAATATATCTATCAGGTGTAAACTTATAGTTCTACAAAAGCCTACAAATATTACCGAGTCGACTACCATAACATTCATACAAGAAGTATTGTCATCCTTGTCATTCTCTAAGAATAATAATGATATAGTGATACATTATGCAGGTATTAAGGGTAATGGGAACTGTTATAATATATTCAGAGAACTATAAATGAGGATTTGTCTGTAAAGTCTGTAAAGTTTGAGTACACTGTTTACAATTGATTAATGTAATTGCTTATGTCAATAAAAATCAAACTACAGAAATAACACCACTTAGAAAAGTATATTTAACTCGAGCATTTTCAATAGCTTAGAGTTTAGATCTAATTGTATTGCATAAGTGTTTTGGATGTAGAAACACAGTTTAGGATTTTGATAATAAATTATTAATTTCCATCTGTTTTTTGACATGCTAAACATATATTGCAAGCTTTTAATAAGATTTTATATATAATTCTTTTGGCTGATTAATGTTCAACTACATTGCAAACCAAAACCACAAACTACACCATACCTTAATATACACATGCAACCACTATGTAATAGAGAAGCAAAATCTGCTTATTTTTCACACTTTAATGGCAATGCTATTGACTCATACACATCTAATCTATTTGGTTGCTTTTAATCTTTAAAAAGCTAATGAATAGTTGTTTTTAATGTGTTTTTTACAAATCTGAATGAAAATAGTTTAGTAGTGTAATAATCTAATGGTCTTGTTAAGATGTACTTACGCAGAAGTTCTTTTATCGTCACTTTGACGTTCCTTTTCCTTATTGCTGTCTCGTTTATTCATAATACTAGGGTCTGGTGCAGGTGCTATGCCGAGCACACTGATCACTCCTGGAGTTCAGCTTCCCTGGCCGCACCCGTGCAGTCCATGTCACCACAGCTTCCGAGAATATTCACACCAGCACATAATCCCCATGTCACGATACACACTACTTTTTAAATATTGCTTTTTTTATATTTTTGTACACTATTTAACAAATTCACTGTTGGTAATTTATCTCAAAATCATTTTTGTTACCCTGAAAGCACGATTTTATTTTGATGTTTCGGCAATACGTAAGCGATGCGATACCAAGGACTTAACGGAATTTCAATGACCGAGAGATAACTATCGTTTTATGCTACCGATATCTGATATTAAATATGAAACATACTCAATATCTGATAATTTTGTTGTAGTGTGACAGATGAAAGCGCCAGATATAGGTCGCCCTGCCAATGTTATGTTCAATCAAGAGTAACAAACGAGACGGGGCTCACACCTTGTGCATAAAATGATTCACACATAATCACACTTGCAATTTGCAAATTAAATAACCACTATTTCTCATTCTAACACTCATAAAATAAAACGTAACTACCAGAAAACTAAGGAAATGACAGATTTTCGTTGAAGTAGGAAATCGGCCCTAATACAATCGTTGCTTCTCAATCGCCTTATTAGCTTTTTACGGATGTAAAATAACAATTTCACTGTTTAATACAGACATAAACTCATTCTCCTCTTATGCAGGGAATGTAACTTTTGATTAGCTCCACAACGTCGCCGAAACATCAAATCAAATGGACATTTGTCTTGATAAAAAAGTTTAGGTTTTGTAATGGCCACCAATGGTACACTTTAAGCACTTTTAGAATTATTTTGTTAATGTCCTAATTTTATTATTTTATCTACTGAATTAAATTAATTTCTAGTTTACCGACGTAAATACAAGCTAACGACAAAAATTCATAGTTAAAAAATATTAGTTCAAAGATTATTCACTGAAATATCGCCATTCGGCGCATGCGCGAACTTGCACCCATAAATGTTGCTATTTCAAAATAATAGCAAAAAAAAAACAAACAACCCGAAAAAACAAAACCCTTTATTTGAGATTTAAGATAAATTCATGCTTTTCATCTCACATTGTATTTAACTAACATTTTGTTGTACTGCTTAAATGAATATATTTTTTGGATTTACATTCAGAGTTTGTGACGATTAATTTTAAGTCTGGCAGCACCGTGAGATAGATGCGTTCAAAACAAAGTACACAAGAAGTAAAAAAAGAAGATCGTGGAAAAGCAGTAAAAACACAGAACGGCATTATTGTATTTTCGCAATTTATTTAGTATATGATTATCACGTCGTGATCAATACATATCTTTTTCTTCGAAGTAGGGTTGACGACGACGACCGGTGCGCTGCCGGCCGTAACAATAAATCTAAAACACGAATGAAATGAACGAACAAGCAGCTAAAAGCGCGATAAGACCAGGAAGATGGGGGTGTAGATGAAGATTTGTATATATGATTTTATAGCTTGTAATGTACAAATTATAATATCTAATTAAATACATAAAGAACTGTACTTAGAGTCCGTTTTCTATTTTATTAAAAGTTTCATTGGATTATAAAGAAAACTTTTGTTTTATGCTATTTAGGACATTATACATATGTACATCACTATTTTTTCCGTGCGACTTCATCCGCATGCCATTATAATTTTATTTTTTTGTTAACATTCCATAAAACTTAATGTTAAAATTAAATGCTGAATTGACAACAGAGGTCCATTGCCATTGGCTGATAATTTAGGCATCCATGGAAACCTTGCTTCTTTGCTGCATCCACTATAGCTCATATTAAATAAGCACTATGACTCTCAGTACATTACTTCAGTAAGTATGTATGTATATTACTTTTTTGGAATCTCTACCAACCTTACATAGTCTTACAAGGTACAACCACGTTATACAATTGTATGATCATTAACTTCTGTCATAAAAATGTACCGGAATATCGTTCGTTACGAGATGATTATGACATTTTTCGTTAAGCAACGTTAAACTATGTAAATATCTAAGCTATATGCTACGTGGTACAGTATGAATGTCATAGTTGTTGAGCTTGAGCATTCCGCTTATTTAGTTCCCTTTGATCTTGATTCAGACTTCGTCAATCGGCCAGTCGGCAAGCGGAGCGGTAACGAACGGACGTGTGTGACCTAGGTTATGTTTACAATTCGATTTCAAATAAGACGTATGTGTAACTTTACGTTCAAAAGATAACAACTCAAGGTCTATATTGCAAAACGGATTGTCGAAAGGTAAGTGGTTTCTGTCGCTTTAATGTTTTAAGACGAAATCTTTTGTAAAATTTTAAATTGTTGACGTATTTCAAAGCCTTGTGTGCATATAGTTTACTTAATCTGCATTTATTTACTGGTCATTAGTGTAATTATAATATTAAATTTGAATCTTTAATTGGATTTTTTGTGCAACTCTACATTCCATAAAGTGTCTTTTTTTTGGTATCGTGATCGTTCAGCAAGTAAACGACTTAACTATTGCAGGATACGTGTTCGATTCCCAATCAATCTCTGTTTAGAATTAGACGGTAAAGCTTTACAATTTAGATTCGTACAGTTTAAAAATTATTACTATTATTAATGCTTTGAAAAAGTGGAAAGTAAGTTGGTTGGTTGGAACCTATGCATTGTCTAAGAAGCAGCTTGAAAAACAAAAACAAAAACATTTACCGATCACAATTAAGTAGTCTATATTTAATTATCGTTAAATGTTCCATTTTTTATTTGTTATTTATTTGTTTTTCACTTTCTTAAAATTTGTAAACACCATTGTAAGAACATCCAGGGTACATTGTCGCTGAGTAAGCAGGTTTTCCCCCAATCAATGAAGTGTAGACGGAGTTTTACGCGCCATAAATAAGTCTGCCTCACTCTGCCACCCTTCAAATATTTTATTGATTATTAAAACATTATTTTATCTTCAATAACATATAATCTTAAGGTTATTAATACTAATGCAATTTCTTGATTTATGTTTGTTGATATTTCACGCTGTATATAATGACTAATAAATCTTTAAAAAAACGAGACTGGCAGGTAAAAATAAGAAACAATAAGTTCAAAATAAAACAAACGATATACCAGTATTCAATCAGTTGAACACCAGCCAACGTACAATGTTAAGTGGTAGTTATCTATGCAACAATAGCATACAAACGTTCCGTCAATGCTAAATGACCTAGAGAGTAACTCGTCGTAAGGACACTTGGACTCCATTTTATATGTAGAGACGATAATAAGAGGATACAGTCAATTTTAAAGCATTCAGATATAACCAACCATTAGCCAACATTGGAAAAGTGTAAGAAATGTTCGAAAATTGGAACTGAATTAGGTTGGTTGTGATACTGTTCTTTATTTTTTTTTTAAATAAAAAGGGGCAAACGAGCGGCGAGAACACCGAGGTGGTCGACGACGCCCATGGACATCTGCCACGCCAGGGGAACTACAGATGCATCGTCGGTTTTAAATTTATAGCAGCTTCTAAAGTAACATTAAGAGAAAAAAATCGTTTGATATATTTCTTCTTCAACTGTTTACAATGTAACTGTTCATCATCTTCCAGATTCTTTCATCTTTAGAATGGATAAAGTTAAGAATGTGTATGTTAGAGGAAGTTTGAAAGTAGCGCCAGTGGTGGAGAAATTGAGAAGCAAAAGGTTACCGTGGTATGGACATGTTATGCGAAGAGACGATGGGGACATAAACCTGAAAGTGTTAAGAATGAATGTGGATGGCTACAAAGGAAGAGGAAGACCGAAGAAAGTATGGATGGATTGTATGAAAGAGTATATGCTTAAGAATGGAGCGGATTTAGATATGACGGCTGATACAGATGTATGGAAGAGCAGCACATACTGTGCCGACCCTCCGTAAGGGATAAGGGCAAGTTGATGATGATGTTCATCATCTTCCAGTCCTTATCCTACACCAGTAGTGTCGCTGCAAAAGGTTTTGGTCCTCTTGTTCTTGTCACCTTTCACGCAATCTATCCATCTCTTTCTAGGCTTACCTCATCCTGTGTAACCCTACACGTTCATTACTGTGCAATTGTTATCAATACTCATTCCTTTTAGCAATTGAAATTTATTGTTAGTTTGAATGTTGCATTTGCATTTTACAATTATATTTCCACTCAGGCTGCTGCTATCAGTGGCAGGAAATCAGTAATCGACGTACAATGTTGTCATTAGTCGTAGATTTTTGTTATTAAGTCAAAGCGGAACTCGAGAACAGTCTTCCCTCAATGAACATTGTTCTCTATCGAGTTTAATATTTTCATTTTGTTAACACAATATGCGTGTCATTTCGTCGTCTAGAAATGTGAAACGATTCAGTCATGAGTTTCGAGTTCTGAGTGTTCTGTGTTCTGTGTTCGACGAAATGAGTTTTGGTACAATTTGGAAGTTTAATTAATTCCAAAGGTCAATCTACTTCAAGTACCTTTCAGCCCTTCTTATTTTCTTAAAAGCTAGAACACTTAGTAAGGTTAAACACATTTTTGCTTTACTAGCCTTTCTAAGTGTGAAGAAAGGTTGGTCACAAAGTTATTAATTCAGTCGTATGCAACTTTTAAGTCATATTGTAACCGCCGAATGTAACTGAGAATTGTTTTATTATTATCCCAGACGGTATTCGGTATTTTCACCTTCTGCATACAGAAATCGGCAATTCCAAATAAATCAATTGCTAAATATAAGCTTTCAGCGACAGTCGCTGCAGTAAGCTTGTACGCGCAGTGCATTGCGTATAAATACGATTGTATTCCGTTCTATCGTTTGCAGTGTTAAATATAATAATATTTAATTCATCTCGATCTACATTCATATTGTTAAACCCGCTACAGACGCTCAGTTCTATCTGAGTTTAACAGTTCGACTCCTCTGTTAAAACTGTCAAAATTGAGCGTGTGCCGTGACTTTAAATTATACCTACTCTTTAATAAAACAGAACTACATATAATTGTAGATATTTTGCGTTTATTTTTACGTATTTTGTTATAATGAATATACATACTAATGCACTTACTTAAACACCTGAAAAACGTGTGGGAAAACACTGTACATTTTTTATAATATAAAAATAAATTCAAACAAAGAACGGAAACTTAAAAACAAAGTTAATATTGCAAACAATGTCGAAACAATAAAAACGCATTACTTTTAACTTTGCTAAAAGACAGCATCATCATCGTCCTCTTTATCCCACTCGTGTAGGGTCGGCACAACAGGTTTTTGTCCTCCAAATAACTCTATCCTACATCATCTCAGTCATCACTCCCTTTTTGATCATGTCACCTTTCACGCAATCCATCCATCTCTTTCTAGGTCTACCTCTACTGATGTAACCTTCCACACTGATAACTGACGTTCTCCTTGTAACATGCGATACATCCCTCCTCATAACATGCCCATACCATGCTAACATTTTACTCCTTACCTTCTCTACTACTGGGGCTACTCTTAAACTTCCTCTAATATACTCATTTCGTATCTTATCCATTCGTGTGTACTTTGCTGAAGGACAGCGAGTTTATTGCGACAATAAGAGTACGTTTGCACTGAACAAACGTTATCATTGACCTTGGATTTGCTAATCTCAAATCTTTGATGCATTAACAATTATCAAAGATAAATCGACATCTATCTAGTAAACATCTAAGTGAAGTCTCTAGTATTTATGTTTTAAAAATAAATCACTTTAAGAGCACGCGCACACCTTTGACTAAACTATCGCACAACTGTTTAGTCGTGCTTTGATTCTTATATTCCTATAAGCTCGATTTTTGGTTGTGCAATTAAACAATTGGATGGGCTGCGAAACAATCGAAAATCGCACGCACAACAGTTGTGCGATACTTTAGTTAAAGGTGTACACCCGCTCTAAACTTACAGAAGTATAAAATCACATAGTTATCCTAAATTATTTTGGAGTTCCAAACAAGGAAAATATTT